TAAGATAACCCCAGTTTGGCTCCAAAAGTTTCATTTTAAGAAGAAACAGATCTCTTTGAGGTTGCCAGGATATGTTAGCCACTAAGGTTTCCCCTCACCTCCCCGACTCGTGCCCCATAAACACTGAACCTGTTTTTAATTTGGAGCTTAGGCATTCTGGATGCGGAACTGCTCCCCCTGACAACAGCTGGTGAGCAGGTCCTCTACTTCTTAATTTAAAAATTATTTAATAAAAAAAGGAGTTAAAAAAATACAATACACACTAATTATTTCTAAGAACATGTGTTTATAATTTGTGTTCAATAACATTCTAATTAGCCTATGTTACTAAAAAGCATTACATGTTAAAAAAAAAAGAAGAATGCTGTAGGCAAGGTGGCTCAGTGCTAAAGCATCTGTCTGTCAATGCAGGAGATGTGGGTTCAATCCCCAGATTGGGAAGATCCCCTGGAGGAGGGAAAGGCAATCCACTCCAGTATTCTTGCCTAGAGAATTCCATGGACAGAGAAGCCTGGTATCGCAGTGAAAAGGAAAAACGAGGAATGAGTTTTTCTTTCCCTTTCCTGAGAACAAAGAAGATAAAAAGAACAGCGAACAGTCCCAAACATTCTTAGTTTTTACTTTTAACTGTTCCTAATCTGTACTCTGTAACTAAACTTGCTTTTCTGCCCCCTAATTCTGCATGTCTGTAAATAAATTTGGTTTTCTGCCCCCTAATTCTGCATAAGCTACATTTTGCACCTATTATCCTTTGGTTCTATGCCAATTACATCCTGTATTTGGTGCTCAGCTTTATAGCACTCTCTTGGCAGATCAACCCTCAGAAGTTTTCCTGTATCAGAAAGAAGGCCGAAGTAAAAATACATAATGGACCCAACTACTGGGCCACCAGACTGCCAGAGGCTACCTGAAGCCAGCCTGTGACATTTTTTAAATAATGCAAGAGAAAGAAGACAAGATCCTAACACCTTTGTTCCTCATCCCTAACCACAAGCGCTCATCTTATATAAACCCCTAGGCTGGATGGCATCACCGACGCAATGGGCATGAGCTTGAGTAAACTCCGGGAGTTTGTGATGGACAGGGAGGCCTGGCGTTCATGGTTCATGGGGTCGCAAAGAGTCAGACACGACTGAGCGACTGAACGGAATTGAACTGAGACTCCTCATGGGAGGGATGGCACAGTTCTTGAGGCATGAGCCTACTTGGTTGCCCTCTCCGCCAGCTGAGGATTAAAGCCACCTTTTTATATCCTCCAAACTCTGTCTCTGTAATTTTTATTCGGCTTCAGTGGGCAGAGAAAGCCAAGATTTTGTTCAGCAATTGTGGGCTGCAGTCCACAGGGTCACAAAAGAGTCGGACACAACTGAGCAATTATGCAGGCACGCACGCAAGTCAGAAGCAATAGTGACTCTCCAGAGTAAATAACAATTGTATTGACTCCTGCAGAAGGAGGTACCAAAAACTCACCTCACACCTGAGTGTCCCCAGGCTCTTGAAATGAGACCAGGAAGAATGAAAAGATCTGAACCTGTTAGTGCCTATACACATCTGAGCTGCAGCCACCGGTCAAACTGGGATATGTCACCAGAATCTGGAGAAACCCCCGACTGCTCGGAATAAGTACATCCGAGGTATCTCCATGTGCTTATACAGAGCAACACTGTGCAATAGACAGGGCCAGACACACAGGGGTTAGGGTTTGGGGCTCTGACTCCAGAGGCTCACATTCCTGGTTCCTCTACACACCACCCTTTCTATGTATCCACACCCAAGAGACCAGCCTCACAAAGCCTTGTTTTCCTCATCATTAATGGGAACAGTAACAGTATAACAGTTGATAGAGCTGCAATGAGGATCGCATATGGGTAAACTATTTCCATAGTTCAAGTACATTCAGACAGATCTGTTGCTGTTAGCTACTATTGTTATTTTTTGGATATTATTATTATAAATGGCAGTTTCTCTTAACTATTAACCGTGTCTCACAGAATGAGGTATAATTGGTGGAATAACAGACCCGAAATGACGTTTGTATGCTGAGTCTTGTTTGGTGAGGCAAGAACTGACCTCACAGTGTTGTCAATACCAGAAAGCCCAGCATGATTTACAAAGCTGTTTCCTCTTGCCTCTTTCCACATAATCCTTAGGAAGCCCTCCCCCCCAGCCCTTGGAGGGTAGGCATTGTTCATATTACCCAGTTTTTTTCACTTAAGGACTCTGAGGCTCAGGAATGCCTCCCTGTGTCACCTAGTTAAGTAAGAGAATGGCCTGAGGCTTGGGTCTTAGTCCCCTTGTTTCATGCCTTTTCCCAAACCATACGGTATGTGGGGTATTGCAGGAATGTCATAAAGCTTATTGGGCTTCCCATGTGGTTCAGTGGTAAGGAATCTGTCTGCCAATGCAGGAGGATTTGATCCCTGGGTCAGGAAGTTCCCCTGAAGGAGGAAATGGCAACCCATGCCAGTATTCTTGCCTGGGAAAACCCACTCCAGTATTCTTGCCTGGGAAATCCCATGGACAGAAGAGCCTGGCGGGCTAAAGTCTATGGGGTTGCAAAGAGTTGGACATGATTGAGCGACTGAACCCATGCACACCTAAAAGCCTATTGGTTAATCTATCCCAACAATGAGGAACCTAGAAAAATGATGGGTCCTCAGGTTGGATGTCCCTTGTTCCTCCCATATCACACATGTCACAAGACATGTACAGTCCATACCCCCTGGGAAGGAGCAGGGCAGCCACCAACCTTCTTATTAGGAGCAGGAAATCTCTCATCAGATAGCAAAGCCCCCAAAAGTCAGCAATGTCTCCTGGAAGAAAAGGCTTCAGAGAGTTTAACTAATGGAATTCTAGCCCCCAGATTTGCCTTGAGATATCAAATTTCCTACCTGTTTTCAGGCTGATAACTGAAGCTAAGTGGAAGTTGTTCCTGACTCTGGCCTTAGAATTACTATGGATTAAGGGAGGAAATGGTTTAAAAAAATCTGGTTTTCAGAGTTTAGTAAAATTTTCAACTGGTATGAGTCTTAAGGAGGCCAATTGGCCTGGGTCCAGGCCTCAGGCACGTGTGACTAAATCATCAGCATGTGATAAATTATCTTATTTTAATAGATCTTCAAAGAAACTGCTGCCATGAACTCATTTATTTTAGAGACTCAGGGCGGGTCTACACAGATCAATCTCATTTGGGGTTACCCTGGCTATGAGCTGTCCCTCCTGCTCCCAACACTAAGAGCGGTGAAAATAGAGGACTTAGCCTCAGTCTTGCTCCCTCCTGGGCCTCTTTCTTTTCAGACCACCTGATGATTGCTCTGGCCCTTTCCTCCCAATTCCTAATTTATAAACACCAAATTTCCCACAATTCTCTGCTGAAACCTTTCTAAACTTTCTTAAAATGATGGGACCAAAACCACACACAGTGCTCTCATCAGGGTCTGGCCAAAGGTGAGGAGATTTGAGGATTATTTTAAACTCTCTCAAAATTTCTGTCTTACTTACTTCCAACCATGGAATCAATTCAGCCTCATGTGGTATGGGGAAAGAACAGCAGCAGGAGTGGGGAACCCAGCTCTATTGCTCACAATATGTGTAAGTACACATATGGGTTCCACTGTGACCTCCAGATCCCTTTCTTTTGGACACAAAACCCGCCCAGAGAGACCTTTATCCTCCCTTCATGTATTCTGGGTTCCCCTTAATTGTACCACTGGAGGCTTTACCTACCCGAATCTGACTGTGTGACTGCCAGAAACAACCTGTCTGCACCATCTGCCCTGATTCCAAGGTAACCTGACCTGGGCCCCACCACCTCCCACATCCTCACCACATGAGGTGCATTCTGCCCTACCAGAAGAGGCAAAAAAGCCTGAGTGTTGATTCCACCATTCCGGTCCTCTCGGACCTGTGAGTGGAGGAAAGCGACCTCACCACACCACTGCCTACACCCAGCTTTTCTTCACCCACTCCCCATAACTTGCCAGGCACCTGCCTAGACTTTATTGAATAGACCAAAAGCCGCTGCTTTCCCGGGGGGTATTTCCGGACCTGGAAAGCTGGTCCAAGAGCTGCAGTGTGGGTTGCCAGCCTGGGGGGAATTCTTAACATTGCAGGCAGCAGCGCGTTCAGGTAGCAGAGCCCACGCGCTGGCTGCCGCCCTCAGGGAAGAGGAAAGCATAGTGGAGAATGGCTCTTCTGCCACCCACTCAAGCTGAGATGGGCTCTGATCTTCATCTCAGAGGGACCACAGCCTATCCCCTACAAGGCATCAGACCAGGCACTTCCAAGCCCACGCCCTTAACAAAGTAATTGCCACAGGAGCCCAAAAATGTGTCCCGGAGATGTTCTTGTTCGAAGAACTGGGCAATTCCCTACCTTAGTGCCAAGACTACCTGAAGAGAGTTGGCCCGATAAGCAGGTAACTTTCATCTCCGTTTCCTACCCTGAGGAGGGCGTGTGAGTAAGCGCACGCACACACACACACACGCACACACACATGCACACACACGCATGCACACACACGCACACACGACCAGCACCGGCTTGCCTGGCAGGGCGCCCCCTTGCCCGCCGTGCGGCGTCCGCGGGGACGCGTTGGGGAGCGCAGCACCGACCGATGGACTGCGAGGGTGGGCTCCCGCACCCCCAGTGCCTCCCAGGCGCCTGTGCTGCTCTGGCTCGACGGCCCCGCTTCTCCGCTCACCTTAATGTTGCTGAAGATAGAGCGGGGTTTGCAGCCGGCTCGGCCCTCAGAGGCGGCGCTACCCTGGCGCGCGTCGGGCTTGGACAGGAGCCCCATGGAGGCGGCAGCACGGGGCGGGAGGCCGGGCGAGCGGGGCCGGGGCGCCTGGGCTGGGGCGGGCGGCCAGCGGGTGGCGGGCGCCGTGTCGGTGGCCGGAGGAGACTGAGGGCGAGGGTGTGCGCCTAGAAGTTTTATAAGTGGCCGCCGCCGCCGCCGCCGATGATGAAACGCGCATTCCCTCCTCCCTCTGCCTCCGGTGTCAAAGGCGCTGCGCGCCCCCGCCCCGCCGCCGCCGCCCCCTCAGACAGGTGTGACGCGGTGGCCGGCGGCGCTGGACCTCTTTCCGGCCGAAGTTGCCTCTGCTCCCGCAGCTGGGGGGCTGGGACCCGCAAGGCTCGACCGCCCCGGGAGAAGGTCCCGCCCGCCGGAGCGTGGGGGCGGGGGGTGGCGGGCCGGGGAGAGGGAGGTCTGCAGGGGGAGGCGGCCGGTTGCGGAGCGTGGGGGCACCCGGGGCGCTGGCGGGGCAGGGTGGGCGCCGCGGGCCCCGCAGACTCGAAGGGGCCAGAGAAGGGATGGGCAGGGCTACGAGGGTAGGAGACAGGAGGCGGGGGCGAGGGGCGCTGAGGGAGCCAACGGGAGCCAGGGTGGTTGGAGGGGAGCCGACGTTTGTGAAGGGAGGGGGAGCTTCCGCGCCCCTCCCGATGCGGTCTGGGAGATTTACAGAGCCGGTCTCTGCGTGTTTGCACTCGCCGAAAACCTGGGCTCTCAGTTCCGGTGATGGCTCTGAGACTCGCTGAGGCTCTGTTTGTGTCCAGGACTGATTTATATTTAAACTGCTCTTTGCACTAGAGAGGGGCCGGGTAACAAAGGTGGAGAAGTGGGGGCCGCCCCGGGCTGGACCCGAGCCAAGGTAAACTGGAGGTGCTGTCGAGTGTCAGCATGGCTCGCTCTGGCCTGGAGAGTTGCCAGAAGGGTGAGAGTTGGGAGGAGCGGTGAGAGCGGGGCCGTGGACAAACGGGGTACACCCACTGATCTCCTTTTCAGGGCTGGAACAGAACAGACGCTTAATTTTTTTCCACCAGGATACACAGTGCTGGAAAGAGAAAGAAGGTGAGACTTCCAAGGGAAGGATAAGAAGGTTCTGCCCAAAGCAGCTGCAGTAAGAGATCTAGTTCTGGAGGTGTTTTTCCAGCTCCTTAATTCCTGTCATTCTTGAAAAGCCAACGTCTTCAAGCCACCCCACCACCCACACATCCCCCCTCCCACTAGTCCCAGGAAAAGATGTTCCTCAATTCCCAGGTGGAGAAGGCAATGGTGACCCACTCCAGTACTCTTGCTTGGAGAATCCCATGGATGGAGGAGCCTGGTAGGCTGCAGTCCATGGGGTCTGGAAGAGTCAGACATGACTGAGCAGCTTCACTTTCACTTTCACGCATTGGAGAAGGAAATGGCAACCCACTCCAGTGTTCTTGCCTGGAGAATCCCAGGGATGGAGGAGCCTGGTGGGCTGCCGTCTATGGGGTCACACAGAGTCAGACACGACTGGAGTGACTTGCCAGCAGCAGCAGCAATTCCCGGGAAGATTTGACTGAGACAGGAGCCACAGGACAGATGGAACACGTAGGTCTCTTACTTCTACCCAAGGCTTGGTTGATGCTTTTCTGGGCCTGGTCTGGGCTGTCTGTGTCCAGGGGCTTCTCCTTTCCACCTGCAGCCCCAGGACCCTGGACAGCACAGCACACAGCGCTGGAGGAGAAGTCATTGGACTGTAGGTGGCTTTGGGCCAGTTCGCTCACCCACAGATCAAGGGTCAACCAGAGAGGCTTTCGGGAGGCTGGCCCTGCAGCAGGCCCAGATCCAGAGGAGGCACGAAACTGCAGTGGATAGTAAGCCAGCTTGGAGAATTTGAAACACAAAAATGGCCCTCTACAGAGCACTCAGCATGTGCTGGGGACTGGGCTCTAGCAGCCATGGTGGACTCCACCAGCATTCTGCTAGCACTCCCAGATGTGATGCTACAGAACCCTAGCATTAGCCCAAGAGTTATTAGCACTGTTATAGTCTGGTTTTAACAGATGATGATGAGGTGAACCAAAAAGAGTGCCTGGAAATCATATAGCTAGTAAGCCATGAAGCTGGACCTTGCTTTCCTGACTCCAAAGCCCAGACTTATAGCACTATAGCTTTGAAAAGTATAGCAGCCTCATTTCACAAGTGAGATCAAGCAGTTACCAGAGAAGGCCAGGTCAAGATTATGGTCATCAGAAACTATAAAACTCCTAGAGGAGAACATAGGCAAAACACTCTCTGACATAAATCACAGCAGGATCCTCTATGACCCACATCCCAGAATATTAGGAACAAAAGCAAAAATAAACAAATGGGACCTAATGAAACTTAAAAGCTTTTGCACAACAAAGGAAACTATAAGCAAGGTGAAAAGACAGCCCTCAGATTGGGAGAAAATAATAGCAAATGAAGCAACAGACAAAGGATTAATCTCAAAAATATACAAGTAACTCCTGCAGCTCAACTCCAGAAAAATAAATGACCCAATCAAAAAATGCGCCAAAGAACTAAACAGACATTTCTCCAAGGAAGACATACAGATGGCTAACAAACACATGAAAAGATGCTCAACATCACTCATTATCAGAGAAATGCAAATCAAAACCACAATGAGGTACCATTACACGCCAGTCAGGATGGCTGCTATCCAAAATTCTACAAGCAATAAATGCTGGAGAGGGTGTGGAGAAAAGGGAACCCTCTTACACTGTTGGTGGGAATGCAAACTAGTACAGCCGCTATGGAAAACAGTGTGGAGATTTCTTAAAAAACTGGAAATAGAACTGCCATATGACCCAGCAATCCCACTTCTGGGCATACACACCGAGGAAACCAGATCTGAAAGAGACACGTGCACCCCAATGTTCATCGCAGCACTGTTTATAATAGCCAGGACATGGAAGCCCTGGCTTCCCATCAGCAGACGAATGGATAAGGAAGCTGTGGTACATATACACCATGGAATATTACTCAGCCGTTAAAAAGAATTCATTTGAATCAGTTCTAATGAGATGGATGAAACTGGAGCCCATTATACAGAGTGAAGTAAGCCAGAAAGATAAAGACCATTACAGTATACTAACACATATATATGGAATTTAGAAAGATGGTAATGATAACCCTATATGCAAAACAGAAAAAGAGACTCAGATGTATGGAACAGACTTTTGGACTCTGAGAGAAGGCGAGGGTGGGATGTTTCAAGAGAACAGCATCGAAACATGTATATTATCTAGGGTGAAACAGATCACCAGCCCAGGTTGGATGCATGAGACAAGTGCTCTGACCTGGTGCACTGGGAAGACCCAGAGGGATCGGGTGGAGAGGGAGGTGGGAGGGGGGACCGGGATGTGGAATACATGTAAATCCATGGCTAATTCATTTCAATGTATGACAAAAACCACTGCAATGTTGTAAAGTAATTAGCCTCCAACTAATAAAAATAAATGAAAAAAAAAAGATTATGGTCATGTTAGGACTGCATCACTAGAGCATCTCCCTCACACATTGAGTGAAGCCTTGCTGTGGTCCTCTGATAGAATCCCAGGCAGAGTCAGCCTCTCCAACCCCACCTTGTCCTCCTCCATTAGTCTTGCCTCTGCCCATTCTCAGGACTAGCATCATCTTTAAAGGAAAGGTCTATTCAGATGCCCACAGATGGTTATCTGCCATCATCTACCTTTCCTAGGGGGAGTTCACATAAATGTAGTGGAGACCCAACAGTTGGGCCAACTGAAGTTGGGACTTCAATGAGTTTTATTGGTCTTTCATAACAAGAAGACACTAGTAGGTCTTCAACTAGTAGAAGTAGAAGGTCCAGAATCATGACCTAGGTCCCTTCAAGATTCTTTAGTGTGTGCGCTTCCCTGATTACTCAGATGGCAAAGAATCTGCCTGCAATGCAGGAGACTTGGGTTTGATACCTCTGTTGGGAAGATCCCCTGGAGAAGGGAATGTCAACCCACTCCAGTATTCTTGCCTGGAAAATCCCATGGACAGAGGAGCCTAGAGAGCTACAGTCCATGGAGTCACAAAGGATCAGACTCAGCTAAGTGACTAACACTTTCACTTTCTTGTCCTCATGGCTGGCTCCACTACCAGCTTCCTCTCCTAATTCCAGGGAGGAGGTGGAAGATGGAAAATAGGAAGGGGCTGTGATCACATCAGGGAAGCAGATCTCTCCTGTGCATGCTCAACTACTTTTCCTTAAATCTTGTTGGCCCAAACTGGATCACATGGTCACCCATTAGAAGGAGGCTAAGAATTGTAGTTACTATCTGACTGCTTCCGTTCAGTGCCTACAGTAACCCCTTTCCCCTAAAAGAACACCCTCAGCATCTAAGATTCTGGTCAGATCCTTTGATTTCAGCAAATACTTCTCAGCACTAGAAGAAAAAAGCACAAGGACAGTTCCTGACTTCAAAGATTCTAGGATCTCAGGGTGAGGAGCAAGAAGAGAAAGCCATCAGCATGACATAGCAAAAGAGCTGTTGTGTGCATTGGCTATGGGAACACAAAAGAAGGGCAATAAGAAAGCTGCCTGGAGTAGGTGACTTTCAAGCTGAGCCCTAGGGACTATAAGGATTGGGAGGATTAGAGTGAAGGAAGGTAAATCTACTCCATGATTTCAGTCTGGCTGGACCTGAGACCAGAAGACAGTGAGAAGGTGTGCAGTGAAGAAGTTGGAACACCGGAGGAGCCAAGATGGCAGAGGAATAGGACGGGGAGGCCACTTTCTCTCCTACAAATTCATCAAAAGAATAACTGAACGAAGAGCAAACTTCACAAAACAACTTCTGATCGCTAGCTGCGGTCATCAGGCACCCAGAAAAGCAACCCATTGTCTTTGAAAGGAGGTAGGACAAAATATAAAAGATAAAAAGAGAGACAAAAGAGCTAAGGACAGAGATCTGTCCCGGGAAGGGAGTCTTAATAGAGGAAGTTTTCCAAACACCAGGAAACCCTCGCACTGGTGGGTCTGGGGGAAGTTTTTGAATCTCGGAGGGCAACCTGACTGGGAGGGGAACAATAGATAAAACCCACAGATTACGTGCCTAAAAGCAACTCCCAGCAGAAAAGTACCCCAGATGCTGGCATCCGCCACCAGCAAGTGGGGGCGGAACGGAGAGGAGCCGGCGGCATTGCTTAGGGAAAGGACTGGGCCTGAGTGCCCTGAGGACAATCGGAGGGAGCTTTTGTGAGTTACCAACTTAAACTGTGGGACAGCAAAAGAGAGAGAGAAAATTAACCAGCCCGAACACACTGCCGGCTGTTCGCAGAACAAAGGGACCAAGCAAGTCCAGAGAAGAGCTCGCAGGCTTCAGACCAGCCCAGCCCCGCAGGAGGCTGGAGGCAGCGGGGAGGGGAAAGGGGCAGGCTCGGCCCCAAGTACCTCATCCCCTACGGCACTGCAAACAGGCCTCCAGTTTCTAATCAAAGACCTCCTGAGATTCTGGATGGTCGACATCCGCCGGGAGGGTTGCGGCGAGACACAGGGTGCAGGCACCCGACAGGCGCGGGCGGAAACTGAGGCTGGGACCACGGAGGGGAGAAGGCGCGCCGCACCCGGGGAGAGTGTGCCCGTCAAGCTCCTGGCTGCCTGAGCCACTGTGACGGGGAAGGCACAAAAAGCAGGCGCAGCTTTTTCTTCCGTGCTTTAGTGGAACACACGAGGCCTGGAACCGCGCGCAGCGCAGGGCACGCTCCATATAGAGCAGCCGGGAGCCTGAGCAGCGTAGAGGGGAAAGCAGCGCCAGCCCCTCCCCGCAGCGCGACG